CAACATCTATTCCTATATGGCACATTTTGTAAGTTCATGCCGCATTCCATTTGCAGCTAACCTACTAAAAAAAGAGTGAAAGCCCTAAATTAGTGTGCAACTACATAGGGGAATTTGGAGCGATCCGAGTCATGTTTAAAAGGCTCTTATTTTTGGTGCAATCTATTTTTTTCTCATATTTGAGCAATTCTGTCTACACAGAAGATGTTTCTTCTCCTGTGAGAAGGATCCAGAGAACTTCAGATCATTCCAGTTTCTCTCCCTTTTGATCATTGATGCTCCAGCTCCTATCCTCACTCCCACTTTTTGTTGCGGCTGTTATTTCATGGGCCACAGCAATTTCTCTTGTAAAAATTGACATAGCGCTACAGCACTATATCAAACTAGCATGGATATTCCATTATATCTGACATAGTGCTACGTTTCTTAGGATAATATTTTAAAAATTGTGAGAAAAGGAAAATAAAGGAGAGGGTTTCTCTGCCATCATTTCTACTGTCATAACCCATTGCATATGTCACAGGGTTATCACTAAAGAGAATGCTGATCCACTATTTGGAAGTGAATTAAGCAACCACACAAACTGCCAAATGGGATAATCAGGGGCACTCCCAAACATACCAAATAAATTGCAGACCTAACATTGTGCCTGAAAGGAGTGAAACACATCACAAAAGGGGTGGAATGGATTGGTCTTACTTAAAACACATGTGGATGCTGGAAAATAGGGCAAACCAAGCTGCATGAAAAGCAAAACAAATGGCAAGCAATATGCTTGTCTGATTACCCCCTTACTTTTTTCATCACCTGATTAGCTGGTCTTTTCCAGAGAGCTCAGATTTCAAGTGGACACTGAACTCCTGAAAGTGCATCTTAATTGCAACAAGATATTTAGGATGAAACTTCAGTAATATCCTCTAGTGAAAATTAATGCTCTACAACCAGGAAATTTGAAAACCTAGGAGTACATCACAAACAAGGTTAACAATCCAGTGAAGAGCTATGAAAAATTAGCCATTACGATACTTACAGATGGCAAGGGGCAAAATGGATTGTAGTAACAGAAAGTTCTAATTCAGGATCTCAGAGCCTTGGACTGAAAGGAAATTCCTGAGTCTTAATGCACATTTCACTCACCACGTGGAAATGGGGAGAGATGAGATATTTGTATTTATATCCCTGGGGACGTGAAAACAAATATTGTCACAACAGGTGCCTTGGGAAACCAGATCCTCCCCCCTGAACTGGCTGGTCCACTTACTGCTCACGGCACAGCACACACAGCTGTCATTGTTTGTGTCACACCAACTGTGGAAGCAGCCCGGCTGGTGCTTGCCCACCTCCTCGTACAGCCGATCACTAGCAACTGAGTGGGGAAACTCATAATCCTGCCTTGCTGGAGTGGTCAGCTATGCAGGTAGGTGGGGAAGTGCCAGCTAGGCTATTTCTGTGATTGGTGCAGTGTGAATAACAATGGGTGTGCATTCTACATGGTGAGCAGTAAATGGACCAGCCTGTTGTGGGGGCAGGGTCTAGTTTCTCCAGGAACTTGTAGTGATGATATTTATATTTGTATCCCCAGGGATACAGATATAAATATCCCATCTCTAGAAATGAGCTAAATCTTTTTGGCAAATTAGCCATATGTGATCCATAAGACCGTGAGGTCGCACAATGTATTACAGAGAGCAGGGGTCAGTCCTACTGACAACAGGTTTTATCTTTCTTCTCACCTACAGCTTGGATGAAGCGATTACTGTCTGTGATGATGCTAAGAAAATCTGTAAAATTCACTTTTCCATCTCCTGTAAGACAGCCACACACAAAAAAATCAAACAAAAATCAGTTGATGGGAGATTTTGAAGGGGCCCCTCTGTCATCTACATTTTATTCTTGATATCAGTAATGATTAGGTAATATTCCCACCACTGTATCACAGTTCATTAACCAGCATTAGTCCTTAGAAGTAACTTTTGGGAACTACAACTCCCATTTTTTTTTGGCCAGCATGATCATGCTGGCTGGGGATTAAGGAAAGCACAATCCCAAAAAGTAATGCCTCCATGCTCTGTCTGGCATGCTGCAGCCACATATCCATGCTTATCACACAGTCTTGTGGTTTTGCTCCTTCACTCCTCTGAAATAGAAAGAATCTCACTGGATCAAATCAAGGGTCTACCTGATACAGTATAATGTTCCGATACTGGGGGGGCAGGGCGATGTGTAGCCTGCATAATTAACACGTAAACTGTCCAGAGAGTGCTCTATGGGGTGGCGTATAAGCAACACACCTGGCTTGCTTTGTTTTGCTTCCTAATTCACCTGCCATGATTTCTTTGGTTTCTGACCCCTAATTAGTGACTGCAATGTGCACAGTGCAGAATAAAGCGAGGAGTGATGCTCCCGAGTTCACAACGCTTGCAGGCCAAGGGCTCTTCTCACAAAATGCTTCTCTACACTTTTCCTTGTAGGAGTTTTTAAGTATAGCCCACTCAGAGACAGCCGCATGAGATGACGTGCACATATCCATGTATTCATTTTTGTGGCTGGAACAGGAGACTGGAAGCTCCATCATCAAAACCCCACTCAGGCAACAGTTTTACACTACTAGGAAGTAAACCTCACTGGACACAGTGGGTTGGATCCAGATGAAGGACTTTATTCAAAATGAGTTTTAATAGAGGTTTAAAATGTACAGTACTTCTCTTATATTTTATTATTGCTTATAAGAGATGAGATATTTGTACTGTATTTATATCCCTGGGGACATGAAAACAAATATTGTCACAACAGGTGCCTTGGGAAACCAGATCCTCCCCCCAGAACTGGCTGGTCCACTTACTGCTCACGGCACAGCACACACAGCTGTCATTGTTTGTGTCACACCAACTGTGGAAGCAGCCCGGCTGGTGCTTGCCCACCTCCTCGTACAGCCGATCACTAGCAACTGAGTGGGGAAACTCATAATCCTGCCTTGCTGGAGTGGTCAGCTGTGCGGGTAGGTGGGGAAGTGCCAGCTGGGCTATTTCTGTGATTGGCGCAATGTGAATTAACAATGGGTGTGCATTCTACATGGCGAGCAGTAAATGGACCAGCCTGTTGTGGGGGCAGGGTCTAGTTTCTCCAGGAACTTGTAGTGATGATATTTATATTTGTATCCCCAGGGATATAGATATAAATATCCCATCTCTAGAAATGAGCTAAATCTTTTTGGCAAATTAGCCATATGTGATCCATAAGACCGTGAGGTTGCACAATGTATTACAGAGAGCAGGGATCAGTTCTACTGACAACAGGTTTTATCTTTCTTCTCACCTACAGCTTGGATGAAGCGATTACTGTCTGTGATGATGTTAAGAAAATCTGTAAAATTCACTTTTCCATCTCCTGTAAGACAGCCGCACACACAAAAATCAAACAAAAAATCAGTTGATGAGAGATCTTGAAGGGGCCCCTCTGTCAACTACATCTTATTCTTGATATCAGTAATGATTAGGTAATATTCCCACCACTGTATCATAGTTCATTAACCAGCATTAGTCCTTAGAAGTAACTTTTGGGAACTACAACTCCCATTATTTTTTTTGGCCAGCATGATCATGCTGGCTGGGGATTATGGAAAGCACCATCCCAAAAAGTAATGCCTCCATGCTCTGTCCAGCATGCTGCAGTCACATATCCATGCTTATCACAGTGGCTTGTGGTTTTGCTCCTTCACTCCACTGAAATAGAAAGAACCTCACTGGATCATATCAAGGGTCTACCTGATACAGTATCATGTTCCGATACTGGGGGGGGGCAATGTGTAGCCTGCATAATTAACTTGTAAACCGCCCAGAGAGCACTATAAGCAGCACACTTTGCTTTATTTGCTGAGTGACAATATTAAATTAAAAAAACCAGAAATGTGTGTTTCTAAGCTGTATTACCTGAACTGGCCACATGAGGGAATCAGAGACTATGCTATATATAGGGTGTGCTACAATACATGCAGTTTCCAACATCTGCAGGACAGGGGTGCTTGCTTTGCTTTGCTTCCTAACTCACCTGCCATGTTTCCTTTGGTTTCTGACCCCTAATTAGCGACTGCAATGTGCACAGTGCAGAATAAAACGAGGAAAGTGATGTTTCCGAGTTCAGAACGCTTGCAGGCCAAGGGCTCTTCTCACAAAGTACAAAATGCTTCTCTACACTTTTCCTTGTAGGAGTTTTTCAGTATAGTCCACTCAGAGACAGCCGCATGAGATGACGTGCACATATCCACGTATTCATATTTGTGGCTGGAACAGGAGATTGGAAGCTCTACCATCAAAGCCCCACTCAGACAACAGTTTTCCACTACTAGGAAGTAAACCTCACTGGACACAGTGGGTTGGATCCAGATGAAGGACTTTATTCAAAATGAGTTTTAATAGAGGTTTAAAATGTACAGTACTTCACTTATATTTTATTATTGCTTATATTTTATTATTATCCACCCTGGGCCTTGACTTCACTCGATAGATGGGAAGATATGCAATCAGAAAATTAATCAATCATTTTAAATAGGCCAATATACCAGCCATGCCTGAAAATAGCATAAATCTTTTTGTTTTTTTCAAAGGAGGAAGGTATTCTTCAAGCAAGGTTTCCAAATGCGAATCTACCTTTTTCTCCTAATTTCTCCAACTCAGAGCCAAAATGTGCCTCCTTTTTTGAAAAAAAGGAAAGGAAAAAAAAGCTTTATCCCCGTGTGAAAAGAAAGCATTGTTGTTCTTGAGAGGGAAGGGTAGGACATCACAAACAGGGACAGGAACGCTTGCCTTCTATAAAGCAGCAGTCACCGCTTTCTAGGAGACCTTTCACAGCATAAGTAACAAAAATAAAAACAAATAAAATAAGAATGAAGTATTGTGACTCCTTAAGCAACTAACAGTTTTATTTCAGTGTGAGCTTTTATCTACTTCCTGCAACAAACACTGTGAAACAACAGACTTTCTCTCCTTCACTTGGCAAGCGTTTTGCCAAGAGTGAGGAATCTACTTCTCTGTAGGAGGTGCAGAGGGTTGCCAGCTTTTAAAATGAAAACACTCAGCATAATGCATCCCTTTGACTTAGCAAGTATCTTGCAAAAAGAAAAGAGCTGCTGAATATAAACACAATCCAATAAAAGAGGGCCATATTTTTCTAAGGGAACATTACTCCTGCAATGAAAAATAGTCACCTTGCAAAAACAGCATCTTTCAGGTCAAATAAACTGATGCTGCCTTGTTGTATGTGGAGCTTTAGAACAAAGTATCATATTTGTCAAGTAATTATGGTGATGATAGTTTATTGCTATTTCTATAGAGTGGAAGTACTGTGTAGGGCATTTCAGAGTTTCTTAAGTAAAAACAAACTCCAGATATATCCCTGCCTAGAAGGAGTGCTGCTGATGAAGGATCAAAGGACAGAGACTTAGAAATGGGCATGACTCGCTGTATGCCGTGTTGGTGCAAGTTGTTAACAGGTGCCACATGTTCCCTTCCCCCACCACAGCTGGGGAGGGGAAGAGAATATGCAGCAGCTGTGGTACTGCACCGATGGCTTGTAACAATGCATCATGAAGCGAGTTGTGCCCATCTCTAGCAGAGACGTAAAAACTGGATTGCCCATGGTGTGCAATTTTGGTCTAACTCATATTGCTTTGATATTTCCATTGGATAGGGATGTGTGTTTGTATCTCAATGAGAGTGAACCCATACCATCTGTGTCAGCATAGATCAACTCATCAAAGGCTTCTTCCTCAGTCAAGTTGATTCCCAGGTTATGGGCTGTGCTCTGTAGGGCTGGAAGATCAATGTTGCCATTGAGGTCCTTGCTGAAGGTGTCATAAGCATGATGGAAAGCTGGAAGAGGCATAAGGTAAAAGAGTAGGAAGAAGTTAGGCTCAACAGATAATCACTGATTGATTGCTTTTTGAGGGGGAATGACTTGCAGAAGAAATATGCAACTATTCATCACATTTATTGTGATCACATTTATTGTGTTAATGTATCATCCCCACCTGACTTTAATGTTTCGAATACCTGTATCAGCTTAAAACCAATTATTAGCTCTCACTAAACTACTGTAATTAAATTAATGGGAATTTGATAAGTCAAGAAGGATGGCTCAAGCTAAGTAGAAACACATGCAGACATGGTCTCTTCCCACTAAACCATGCCATCAGTCATCGATATACCATGCCTATATGTCAGTGTGGACCCCCCACCAAAGTCTTTAAAGTCTCTTGCAGAAGATACTCTTTTCATTCAAACAGTTCAGAATTGTGGCATGGAGTCACAGGTAGACATTTGGATGCACCATAACAGAAAAACCACTCAACAATCAGATGGTCTGCAAGCAAGAGACGTACCTTCCAGCTGTGGCTTATTCAGGTCCTTAACAGCTTTGAATGTGTTCCCAAGGACAGTCCCATATGGGAATACTCTACCAAAACAAAACAAAACAAAAAAACCAAAATAAAAAATAGCACAATATCAACCAATTGAATCCATCTCAAATCTACAAATGCTCTACACTTACAGCCCAAGTTTCATCTACATGATGGAACACTTACTGTAGAAGTGTGGCTTTGGCTTTGTGTCCCTTCACCATTGTATTGCATTTGGTGCCTACGGCTGTCCAGTAAGAGTGGTGGTATGATTTGGAATGACTTGTCACTAGACAAGCATAGACTCTTACAACCAGAACATCTGGCAAATTGATGATAGTAGGGATGACAAAAAAGTAAAAAAAAAAGACACACACACACACACACACAGAGAGAGAGAGAGAGAGAGAGAGAGAGAGAGACTATCTGGGTTCCCCCAGAGAGATAAGACAGTGCCAGCAATGCAATAGTCATTCCAACATCTGAGAATTATTCTCCACCCAGACTAATTTCCTGACTTAACCCTGATAGAACATAGCCATGCCAAAACACACAGCTCATTGAAATAATCTGTGATATACTGTATAGACATATTCACCAATACTAAGATGGGTTGTTATTTAACGGAATTAAAATGTTGCATTCAGTGCACTATAAACACAAGGGAGGGCTGACACCCCACCCCAGCACCAAAGGATCCCTACAAGCCTCTTTCGGCGGTTGGCAAAGTCTAAAAGACCTGCAATGTTGGGTGAGGGGGTAACTCCAAGATGAGGAAATCAAGTGCAATCGGATCCTACTGACCTGCCTGGTATTAGTGGACGGTGCTTCTCTGTGACCCTGGGAAACTTCACTGTCTTTCTATCAGACATTTTACTTGGGTATCCTCCTATTGAAAAACAAACAATTATACACAATGCATCAATGGTAGATGGCAACATCCACAAGACTATTAGCATGCCTGCTCTAGAACCCTTCAGCACTGCTTTTCTGGTGTCTGCGCTAAGGCTGTCTCTCCATTACAAGAACACAGGCCATCCTCTCCACCAGCACAGCCATGTAATTTTTCCAGGCTTTACCCATGACTTTGGATGCTTAATTAAAGTGGGGGAAAAGGCGGGATAAAGCTATACAACAAAATGAAATTAAGTGAAATCTACTTGTTATAGTTTTGCTCAAAGAACCTTGGGAAGTGTAATTCTGAGAGGTTAGAGATTATTCCTTGTTAGAGATTCCTGGTTCCATTGTCCTACCTGCACCTTTCCTGAAAGCCATGAAAGTTGTACACTGATTGTGCAAACTCTTTGTGCACCAGTGTGTCTCTTTCTTCACTTTATATATGTCCTGTAGAACTGGGCACTGCCACAGCCCACTTCTATAAGACATATATAAAGTGAAGTAACAGACACACTGATGCACAAACACAAATACTGAATGAAGTTTGTATTATGACAATGAGTAAGAGCCAAATGAGAGACAGTGGGACAGCCTGGCTTGTTTCATATATGCCTTTCTATCACTTTCTATCACCTGTGCTACTTTTCTTCCCTGCCTGGTTCAAACAGCTAAGGCTTAGAGCTTCCTGGGATTCCAGTCAAACCTCCTGGGCTCCCCTCAAGGCCATATTCCCTTTCACCACATCCCCGTCATTGGGGAGCGGGTCACCTAGCTTTTGAAAAAGTATTTTCCTACTCCAGACACTTGAAATGTTGCTCCTAAGGCTTAATTACTGGCAAGTAAAGCCTTGAAGGTGGAATTTTACTATTTTTGGTTCCGTCACTTTGCCTTTACCTTCAGAACTGAATGTGATCAAGCTGATATGTTTTCCACAATCTTAGCTGAGAATCTATCTATCTATCTATCTATCTATCTATCTATCTATCTATCTATCTATCTATCTATCTATCTATCTATCTATCTATCTATCTATCTATCTATCTATCTATCTATCTAT